AAAAAAAAAGGAGTAGAATTCTGTGAGTACCTTGGGAAGCAAAATCCTCCTACCAACCATATGTTGTGTGAGCGCAGGAATTCTAGCGACTGAAAGAGCATCAAGAAACAGAAGGACAATAACTTGCCACTGTTTCATCCTGAATGCTGGCAGTGGGTCCATAAATGACATTGTGTCCAGCAAGTGTCCCTGCGAAAAACCAAACAGACGACAATTTGAACCATTTTTACCCAAAGAAAATAGAACCTTATAGGATTGACAAAATACATTTATTTTAAAAAAGTTTTTTCAGTATATGATAAAGAAAGTTCCTCCAAACGGAAAGAATGAACTACTGCAAATGCTAGGACGAACAAAATGATCATGAAGATATTGCTACCACATACAAATGTGAAAAAGAAAAATGTTAGAGACACTAATCTCAAATATAATAGGGATTTTATATAGTCATCTTATTTAATTATGATTCCGTATAGCTACATAAATTAGGCATCAGATTAATAGGATGAGTTGAAAAGGTATTATCTCTTCTTTGGGCAATTCATAGGAACTGAGAAGCAGGGTTATCTCTACGGCTGCTTTTATGTTCCATTCTCTTAAAGCCTTTCGCATTGATCCGAAAATTTCTACAATAAATTGGGGCTATTGCAGATTTCGTCCCCTCTATAAAATTATTTATCTCCATCAATATACTCCTTGTTCATGTAGAAATTTTGTAAAATACAGCATATAAGAATATTCTAGGACAAGAAACATTTCAATAGGGACTGGAACAAGATATAAGTCTCACATGTTTACATAAATAAATAAATAAATAAGCTAAAGTGGTTCGAACTAAACTAAGTTTAATATTTAATAAAAGGAACAAAAAAAAAATCTATAGTTAGACATAAACAACAGCGAATGGTTGGCAAATCAAATGCTGTAAATCTGCATTTTCATGTAGTCTAACAATTGCCTACAATTTTTTGCCCTTTCTAGCCAAATTCCCTCGTCCTCTACTTTTCTTTTGTTTTCTAAAACAGTAAACCAATGACAATTATGGTTGAATAATATATTGTTTTGTATTTTGAAGATAAAAGTGTTTGGTATATGAGAAAGTTTGTTTATTGAGTATCTAATGTGTAAAAAAAACTTAAACTACATTGCAAGCATCATTCAATCTCAAAATAAATATATAATAATTTAAAGCCGGTAACAACTAAATCAAACAAGCAATAAGTTTCAGTTTAATATTTCTGCAATATACCATTCCTTGCTCAAGAGTTGATATAGGTATGGGAAGCCTCAGTTCAGCAACAAGTCCTGGCAAGGCTCGAGAGAGGCAGCCAGCTAGAGTTATCTTAATTTCAGACGAGCGGCCATCCAGCATAACAACCTTACGAGGATACTCCCTCCCATTGATCGACAAGTAGTCCTCATGAAAACTTTCATCCTTCCCATATATATAAGCTAATGAAGACGATGACATCCAGGCAAAGAGTGCCATAAACATTGTGGAAAAGGGTGATAGCTGAAATAAAGCCCAAAAACCAGCATGAGATAATGAACACAAATGACAATTATAATAGATGAAGTAGCTTTTTTGGGTTAAGAACTCAAACAGCCAACTTACTGATAAGTTAAACCCCTCTGGTGGACTATCATACCAAGAATCCTCAGAATCAAGAAGATCAGCCTCTGAAAATCCTGGTTTCGGAGGCCACTTTAGTTGAAGTGGTTCCGTATCCACCACATCACCATTCTCTTCAGATTTAACTTCACCCTCTCCATGAGGAGATGGCAATATTATAACACCCGCTTCAGATGCTGAATGTTAAATTTGAAATGAGAACCAAGCCGGACAAAGCATTTCATGTATTAACAGCATATCAAATTAAAACTCGGTTTCACATTGGGAAGAGAACTTCTTACCAGCGTCAGATGCTTCACATTCCCCTGATGCTACAGCTTCTGCAGCTTGGCTTAAAGCCATTGCACAGGCTTCAGCAGATACGAATCTGTATGACTCTTGGCCCACTTCCTCATCTTTTAATCCTTTGACTTCACAAAGGTTTCTAACATCAGCATTAGTTTTCTCATCAGCCCAGGTTACAGATCTGTTTGTCCGATTTGAATCCGAAGTCTTCAAAGAGGACTTCAGAACACCAGCCGTCAAATCTTTTCCCATCTGCGATTCCTTTCCATCCTTCTGAGAGTTATTTTGGCTGGGACCTTCATTTACACAGACCTTATAATCCATGGTAGTCACATCCTTAGACTTCTCGGATCCCAGCTGGAGTTCCTTTCCACCCTTTTTAGCGACATTTTGACTAGGCCCAGCAATTTTATCTTCTAATAAACCAACTTTACCATCCGATGTACTCATATCCTCAGATTTATTTAAGTTTTTGGATCTCATTTCTTGAGTGCTTACTGATGGAGCATTTGGCTTTTGAGTCAGGTTACCCAGGCGATTCACTTCATTACTTCTCGCTTTTCCTTTTTTATCTTTATCCTTTACGGGAGGCACAATTTTTGAGACGCTGTACTCGTCTTGAGTTATAATCACACTTGTGAAATCCATGTCCTCGTAAGAAAGTCCTGATACATTTGATTGCAGCATGTGTCATCAACTTAATGCATTTTTTTTTTTTTTATAAAAATGAAAAAATAAAAAAGACAAAAGAATATTACCTCAACACAATACAAAAAAGAACACACCAGAACACCAAACTTACCAATGTGTTCCTTTTTTCCACTTCCCCTATCATTATTCGACCGCCCAGCTTCCATATTTTTTTCCCTCCGTGGCACGTAACCGTCGATCGCGTTCGAGGGACCAATCCACTCCTCCACGGACACTTCACCAGCTGTTGTGTCCATTTTCTCCTCAATCCTCAAACCAGACAGACCCATATCCCCACCCCCGCTTGCCACTGCATCATCAGGACCCAAACTTGGCCCATAAAATAGATTCAGAATTCCACTCAGTTTGGCCGGCTTCAGATCTGAGGGCCTCTCCTCCTTCAAACTTGCAGCAAAAGTCCGGCTGTTTATCAAGCAGCCGGTCGAGCAATACATGTACGTCTCCTGGAGGTCATAGACCTTGTGCTCCTTGAGCGACACCCTGTAACGGCCTTTCCAGGGCCGTTCAGTGGGCAAAGGATTGGTGCAGAGTGGGTGCCCACACATGCCAGCTATTGAGCGTTCGGTCACCACATCTTGGTAGTCACTTTGAGAAAGGAGTGCGCCGGAGGTCATGAGCTGGCTCTCGTGCTTGATTCCCTCCAGAAGAGAAAACTGAAGCTTGAGAACTGCATCCTTCACAGTCTGCACCTCATGCTTCATCGTTTCCTGGGGGTAAAACGCAGAACATTATATATTAAGGCCAGCCCAACAAATAAACAATGAAATCATCAAATTAGAAATTTCGTTCCTAAGGAGATAATGATTTTCAATACCTGTAGTACCAATTCATTACATTTACACTACATTTACATTAACAAACACGTAAATTCACAAAATTCAGTTCTCTCTCTCTCTCTCTCTCTCTCTCTCTCTCTCTCTCTCTCTCTCTCTCTCTCTCTCTCTCTCTCTCTCTCTCTCCCTCTCTTTTTACGAGAAATTGTTCGACAAAATTACCAGATAATCCATTGAAAATCCCAGCAATCACTCAGAATCAGAAGGAAAAGCTACGGACGAACTCCAAATTCCCAATAGTCCTCGTGCACCAACCCACCCAGACGGCTGCACAGGAGAAACAGCGCGAGAGACCTTGGTGCTCAACAGCTTTTAATGGCAGTAACCAGTGGAAACTGAAAGAACTAATTCCTGCAAATAGGAATGAGCAACGGTGCAGTTAGCTTCAAAACCGAACCGAAAACCAAAAATCTGTACACCGAACTGAACCTCATGGAAACAAAAATCCGAATCGCCGCCGCAGTAAGAAAAGGGCAAAACACATATCAAAGTTAAAACCATTTTAAATTAAACCAGACGTATGCAGCAGCAGATTCATCATTCGTCATAGACTGTGAATTAAAGTAAACCAGAAAGAACGGGGTTAGGGATGATGAGTGAAGAAGTCGAGCAAACCATGAGTACAGACCTAAATCGATTGATTCACTGAGTCGGGGATGAGAAACAGTATATATTTTTATACTTATAAGTTTAGTCGGACGTTTTCATTTTTCGCCATATTTATTACTACTACAACACTCGTGTATTACACGAATACTTGTTAAAAAATTATTCTTAAATTTTAAAATTAATGAGAAAATTTGTTTTGAATTGGCAAAATTGCATTTAAAAGCACCACCTTTTATGTTTTTGCAATTTAATCACCACCTTTGTAATTTAGCAATTTAATACACAACTTTACTTATTTCTTGCAATTCGAATCACAGGGCCCAATTTCGGGCATGTTCTGGTGACGTGGCATTTTGTGGTGATGTGGCGTTTCCACGTGTCAATGACGGGGCATTTTTGGGCTGACGTGGCAGTCTATGTCAATTAAGAAAAAAAATATATATATTTTGTAGAAAGGGGGGTTTGAACCCTAGTCTCCATGGGAAAAAAATAACTATGCTACCAACTCACCTATCCATGTTAGTTAACATATTCAATAACAATTTATATATATAGGAATTACGTATGAATAAATTATATTAAAATATAAAATAAATTAATAAATTAATTAAATATAAAATTATAATAAATTAAATTAAATTAAATGAAAATAAAATAAATGAAGATAATTAAAATATAGAATTTTATTAATTCATATTTTGTGTTAGAGTAAACCATATTAATAATATTTAATAAATAAGATTTTCATTATTTATTATTTAATAATCAGTTATTTTGTTATTATTTTATTTTATTTTATTTGAATTCACCTTTTTTATACTTTATCATCTTATGTTATATTATTTTTATTATATTTTAATAAATATAACTTATTATGAAATAATAAATAAAAATAAATAAAAATCTTAAATAAATATAAAAAATTAAAAATATAATTTAAGTAAATAAAATGTTAAATAATCATAATGAATAATAAAACAAAAAGTGTTATTTTATATAAAATAATAAAATATTAAAAAACTTAAATGAAATAATAATTTATTATATAATAATAAGTTATTATATTTATTATAAATTTATTTTAAATAAATAAATAAAAATATTAAATGAGTATAATATTATTAATACGATTCACTCTAACACAAAATATGAATTCGAAAAAATATATTTTAATTATCTTAATATATTATTTTTAATTCAATTTTATATAATTTTATTTAATATAATTAAATTATTTTTTTAGATTTAATTTGATTTCTCCATACGTAATGTAATGTGTATATATATAAAGGGTTATCACATTTAACAACTAAGTTGGACTGGTGTGGTGGTAGCTAAGGCTACCCTTCAACCCCTTCAACCCAGGATCAAATCGCAGAGCGTGCAACATATTTTTTTTTTTTAATTGACACATGGGTCGCCATGTCAGCCCAAAAATGCCACGTCATTGACACGTGGAAACACCACGTCATCACAAAAATGCCATATCAGCAGAACGGGCCTCCACGTCACCAGAACAGGCCCAAAATTGGGCCCTGTGATTCGAATTGCAAAAAATAACTAAAGTGGTGTATTAAATTGCTAAATTGCAAATGTGGTGATTAAATTGCAAAAACATGAAAGGTGGTGCTTTTATATGCAATTTAGCCTTTTGAATTTTATTTACTTTTTTACAAAAAGATATGTATTATTGTATATTTTAGAATAACACTTGTTACATGTGCGACTTACATGTGTTATATTATAATAATTTTTATAACTTGTATCATATAACTACTTGAAATATAAATATATTAATTGATAATAATTTTATTTTTCTAACTAATATTAAAAAATAATTTTATTATTGTTATAAAGATAAATATAACTTTTTTTTATATCGAAGATCATCAAGAGATGATTAATTTGATATATTATATCTGTAAAACTGATAAAAAATACAAAAGTTATTTTCTTATTTTTCGGTACAAAGAAAGGAGGCCGAAGGCCTAAACTACGAAACTAGGACTCGTCTAATATAAGAAACGCCACGGATATCATGATTAATCCATGCTCCTACCCCGTGAGGTGGTGACGATAATCGTTGCAGTCCTAACGGTACCGAAGCCGCTAAATTCGCCATGCAATCAGCTGCATAATTAGCCTCTCTGTTGACATGCTCGATCCTAATGCTCCAATCTCTGTCCAACAAACTTCTAATGGCTCAGACTAGAGAATCGTGGGTTCCAAAATCATTTTGTGGCCCTAGGATCATGTTTCTCACACATTGACTATCAACTTCCGCAATCACCTTCCGGAACCCCGGTCCCAAGCCATCTGAATCCCTTGAAATATACCCCACAATTTGGCACCGGTGATGGTGCAAGTTGTTGGGTTCGTTATACTGTACGGATCAGAGTTTGCAGCGGAATTTAAAATTTTATAAGTATTTATCTTATAAATACTTATTCTGTACATAAGTATAACGAGATAACAAATAAGCATCATTTAAAAGTTCTTCTAACTTTTACTAATTTTGATTTGATATGTAATTTATAAAAATTACTTTTGTTCTTGAACTCCTTCAAAATCGACGATGTATGGGGAAATCAATTCTCGGTTTGGTAACGATCACTTCTTGTGGTTACTCACTTTAGGAATCTAAATGTCTTCCCTCTAATCGTATCCACCTTTTGAACCTTGGTTCCGATTATAGTTTCTTCGCTAGTAGAAACTACTCGGTTTTTCAAGAAGTA